GAGTTTCTTTTTAACGTATGTTTAACGTATGTGCTAACGTATGTTTTTCTTTTAGATTTGTCTCAGAAATGTTCAAGCCAACACAATTAAATGAGCTCAAGATATTAAGATAATTATAATGATCTAAATGAGATAATTAAGCATGTGGGAGATGAATCTTGGAGACCGCCCAATGAAAGCAGTTTTAATTAGAAGACCTTTCAGAGCAGTGGAATTATCACAATTGGAGTATTTTTGTAAAGCCTTTCAAACGTTCTGGCATCATTGCTCAGGGATTTCTGTTTTTCAGTAATGAATTTCAGGATGAATTATTTTTGACCTGCTAAAGACTCGAGCTGAAGAGAGCGTCGAAATCTGTGAAGTAATTCATTAAGACACTTTGTGAGCGCTCTAGTAAATTATAGGCAACACTTTCTTTCGCGCTTTCATGTCAAGCCCTTTTCTTTTCTTCTCTTCTGCTATAAACCAGCACATTTCCATGAAAGAAGGAAGTAAACAAAATGATGTTAGAGTGAATCAAGGGCAGCTCTATTAGAGGCTGATGGAAGTGTGAATTTTGACCTCCGTTTGTCTGAAAACGGACACACACACATCTAAAACAGCAGGTCGTCTCACACCGCCAGGTGTCATAATGGCCACGACTAAGCCTGGTTTAGTCGTTAAGATGATTTAACAGCAAAGCACCCTCACATTTTGACATTTCTCGTCTGTATTGGTCAGGTTGTCAATGTGACAGCAAAGCTTGGCAGCCACATGCACTGCAGCAGGGACAAACACACACTGTTGTGTGTCCAATTTACATAGAGACATGCTGAGCTTGATCAAAGTTCTTTTAAAGCATGTGTGAGTACACTTGGCGGCCTTCTTCAGACACGCTAATGCAGCTATTCCCAGATGAGTACACATGTATGAAAAAAAGGAACATCAATAAATTATATTTAGCATAAAGGGAGTGTAGCCTGTTTTAAAATATTGTTATTTATATATATACATTCTGTGAAACCTTACTACGTATATGGAATCACCGTTTTATAAAAGCAATAAGCCCCGTGAAGCCGTGGTTTACAGTGAATTTATAACAGCTAAGGGGGTTTTAGGTAAACCACAGCTTCTTGGGGCTTATTGCTTTATGCAGTATATTTATCCTTTCCTCTGTCTGTCCCAATCCATCTGCACTCTGTTCGTCTATAATAATAGATACACTGTATATTACATTTTACATTTACATTTAGTCATTTAGCAGACGCTTTTATCCAAACCGACTTACAGTTGGGGGATACATAAAGCGATTCTTCTTAAAGAGGCAAACAGACACAGGAAGTGCTTGTAATACCAAGTTTTTAGACATTGTTCAAATAAGTACAAGCTAGAAAGAGAAGGAATAAATAAAGAGAGAGAATATATATATATATATTTTTTTATGATGATGATGATGATGATGATGAAGTCAAGTAGCTTCGAAAGAGATGAGTTTTCAGCTGTCGCTTGAAAATTGTCAGGGATTCAGCATTCCGGAGAGGGGTTGGAAGATCGTATAGCCTATAGCAGGGCAATTCCTCAAATCGAAACTACAGTTCGCACTTAAACGCAGGAAGGGACCAATTAAATTACACGCGCTCCTTACACGCGCTCCTTCTTAGCCGAGGGCAATTATTCTAATTACCAGAAAGTGCAATCAAAAATACAAACGCAAACAAAAATATAACGTACAAATAGGCAGAAAACGAAATATTCCTTCCTAGCAGCAAGTAATAATTCAAACAGCAGATCTATAAACAAGTATTACGCAGGACACTCACGTGCAGCCGTCTGTCTCTTCTGTTGACTAATCGCTTAGCCCAAGTTATGACAGTGACCAAGCAGTTTAAATACTCTACGACAGCTGTGGCCGCCTTCTAATTAGCACAGCCAATAGTCTATAGCAGGGCAATTCCTCAAATCGAAACTACAGTTCGCACTTAAACGCAGGAAGGGAGCAATTAAATTACACGCGCTCCTTCTTAGCCGAGGGCAATTATTATAATTACCAGAAAGTGCAATCAAAAATACAAACGCAAACAAAAATATAACATAGAAATAGGCAGAAAACTAAATATTCCTTCCTAGCAGCAAGTAATAATTCCAACAGCAGCGAAATTCCTAATCGCTGTACATGCTGTAATACATGTGTTTAAGTGTATATCTGCACACACTCTTAATGTGAGCGTGTCTCTGACTCTCCGTCTTTGTGAGAGGCCACCAGCACTCAGCAGTAATCGAGTGTAGGGATCATAGTGAAGATGTCATCAGTACATCAGTAGATTATCTCACTCTGCAGGGTATTATATGTACCTCTCCTCCCCAATCTGAAGTGTGGATTGGATTGCACTTGTGTGGAGCGGTGTAATTTCAGATTACACAAGGGCTTTGGACTCCGATGGCATGACGGAGTTTGTGTGTGTGTGTGTGTGTGTGTGTGTGTGTGTATGGGCTGTGCGCCGGAGTTTGTGTGTGTGTGTGTGTGTGTGTGTGTGTGTGTATGGGCTGTGCGCCGAGAGTGGGCACTTCTCCCAGAAAAAGCCTGCATGCTCAGGATTATCCCGCAAAGCATAAATCCTCATTATTCTTTCGTTTCTAGAGTGTGTTTAGAGCAAAGAAGGAAAAGAAACGATCTCAGTCAGATGAGAAAATTAGAAATCTTATATACCAGGTGAAGTGTGTAATTTTATTGGTTTTAAAATACTTTCTCCTATCTCAGCTTAATACACAGAGACAACTGTAAGTAAGATATTCATAGGCTGATTCCCGCAGTAAATGTATTAATTCCTTAAATGAATGCACTCTTTAGATAATGCTTTAATAAATAAATAAATATAATAATAATAATAATATCTAGAGTAAGTATATTATTATAATTTTTTTTTTAAATGCCAGGATTGTTTGAGACAGCTTGATCATCCTAAAAGTTCTTGTGCTGTCAGTATCACATAAAAAAACAATTAAGCATTACATTGATAACACTTTACAATAAGGTTTTATTTGTTACCTATATTTAATGCATTAACTAATAATAACTAACAATGAGCAATACATTTGTTACAGTGTTTATTATTCTTTGTTATACTACGGGGCCATTGAATGCTTGAATCTGATTGGCTGATGAACGTTCTGAGGCGTGCAATTATTTTCAGGGAAACGCACGGCGAACGTAGTTCCAGGCAGCTTTCTTGACCGCATTACAGTCCCATATCACTTCGCATAGTTTACTGTAATAACGGAGATTAGCTTACAGTACCTATACAGCACACAGGAATTACTGCAATCACACAAAAGCTGCCCTGACGATTTGATCAGTTAGCCTATATAGTGTAGCAACTTAAAGGCTACACATGACATTTCTCACTAGCGAGGTAATAACAGCGCTGTTTAGAGACGCTGCTGCAGAACACTGTTGAGGGACGCACAGAACTAGCCTAATTCACACAAGCTCTCTCTCTCTTTCTCTTTCTCTGTGTGTCTCTGTCTCTCTCGCTCTCTTTCTAATAACTTCATTAATAACTGCATTAGAACGCTATCAACGGCTCAAGCCTCCATTAGCAGCTTTAAAATCACGTTTTGGAGCTAGCAAAAGAGGCGCTGGATGAGATGTGGAAGAAATAATCCTGCTCACAATAGCGATTTAAGTACAAAAACCGGACGAATCCCTTTAAATATATCATCTGATCGATGTCTTGAGGTGTGGTAACCGTACTATAAGCAGAATAATTGACGACGGGCCGTTGAATTAGCATCGTGGCCGCATCACCACCTCGGGTGTGCATTATTTTTCTAATAATTCAACGGCCCGGAGTCAATTATTCCTTACTTAATGTTTATTATTCTCAGGTCCATCAGCTAGCATCAATAGATACAATTTTACATTTGAAAAATGTGTTAGTACATGTTGCATTTGTTGCAATCAACATTAACTAAGAGCAGTGTTGGGCAGTAACGCATTACTTAGTAACGCGTTACTGTAATTTGATTACTTTTTTAGTAACGGAGTAATTTAACGCGTTATAATTTTAAAAATAGTAATTAGAGTATAGTTACAAGCCGAGGTCTCTATACGTTACTGCCGCGTTACATTGCTGACAGAATGCAGTGATTATGCTTTTTATCTAGATTGTAAAAAGGATGTAGCACACGCATTGTCGAGTGACAAGTGCCAGTGGATTAGTATTTTTCCTTGTTAGATCATGTTAACTAATGTAGTTAAATAATGTTGACAAATGGAACCTTTTTAAAGTGATACCATTATATTTTTATAGATTAATTATCTGAATGTGTGTCGACATGCCATCTAAACAGATCAGTAGTTTTCATTTCTTTAAATGCTTTAAATACTTAAATAATAAATGCACTTTAAACTTTGACATTTGAGCTGTATTTGAGGGATGAAAGAACAGGTTTGTGTTACTAACTGTCTCTGCATGTTGACCTCTGGGGTCAGGAACATTGATCGGCCCATTATGGAAGGTTATGACCCGAGACATGAAGAAAACAGGCAACCTCACTAAAACACGTGTTTAAATGTCATGAATGACTGGCTGGTTACACGACACCACTTCTATTCTCCCCCTGTCTAAGAAAACCAGTGTTTAAATGTAAACGAGTGCAGTTTCAGCCCTTTAAAGGGCACCGAGAACAAGAAACGGAGACTCAAAATATCCTCTCATTTTTTACACTTGTCATCTTTGTTACCGTCTGAAAAACAACCCCATTAAATAAAGGCCTCTGAGGAACATGCTCATATTCAGTGTTCAATTATTGGCCTTTATTTATTGATGCATAACATAATGGTTCTTTTGACTGTATAATTGAATGGTGTTATAATAAATTATAAAGCAAGCCAAAGAGAAAGGAAAACTTGAAATCGCATCATATGACCCCTTTAAGAAAAAGCAAAAGCTGCAGCTTTTCTCTAGAAGTGTGGCACTTAAAACCACAAATTAGTGTTGTTCTCTCTCTTCTGTTTGTAGGTAATGTCGTAGACATTTACCAGCGAGAATTTCTGGCCCTGAAAGACCGTCTGCACTCCGCTGAGCAAGAGAACCTCAAACGCTCCAAAGAGCTCAACCTGGTGCTGGACGAAATCAAGCGAGCCATCGCTGAGAAACAAGCGCTGCGGGACATCAACCGCACCTGGAGCAGCCTGTCAGGTCAGACTAAACAACACCACAACATCCCGGAACAACAGGGGATGGTTTTATATCAACCAATCACTGTCCTTTGATTTTAGGGCTACAATTAAAGGAGTAGTTCACCCAACAATGAAAATGTAGTCATCATTTACTCACGATCACATCATTCCAAACCTGTTTTACTTACTTTTTTTTCTGTGGAACATAAAGAATGTGTTTTAAAGAATGTTTCAACTGTTTTATCCATAAAATGAAAGTCATTGGTGTCAAAAACAACAATTAAAAAATAAATAAATAAATAAAATCATAATATTTATATTTCCACAGAAGAAAGAAAGTCTTACAGATTTATGAGTAATTGATGAGAGAATTTTCATTTTTGTGTAAACCGTGTCTTTAAATATGACTTTCTTCAGATAAACACAAATGAATATTTAAAAAAGTATGTCATGTAATGGAAGCAAATATCGCATAGCTTCAAAAAACCACACAAAGTGAACACAATGGTGTGAGAAAAATACTAATATTTGAAACTTCTTTATCTATAACCATTGCTTACAGCCAACTCTCATACGTTTGACATAAGCGACATCACATTGTGAAGCATGTGCGAGAAGTGCATTTAAACTCATATATTTTGTGGTTTCCATGCCAAAAATTTCTGTTCAGTTATAAAGGATCACAGCTGTCAGCTGTGTTTTCAAAATGTTTTTTTTTATTTTTACTTATGACATGTCTTTTCATTAGGAATATCATTAAGCTGCTACTTCTATTAGCTATATAGTATAAATGTAAATATGGAGGAAATAAGCCTCTAAAGACAAAGTCTGAGCATTGAAACATGTGCAAGTAAGATTTAATAAACTCAAAGCTCTTTTTTTATTATCATTTCTTTGTCTTCTGCTTTATTCTCTTTCTTTGCTTCCTGCTAATTAATTTTAATGCTCAGAATTTTGAAGACAATAATAATTTAAAATTCAATAACACCCAAAAACAATAAGACATATGTTTTTAAAATTTTTTATTTCTATCCTTTGATTTTATTTCTTTATTTCTATTTATGGTTTTTGTTGTTGCTGTTGTTGTTAAATTTTTTTGTATCCTGGCTGTATTTGTAAATCTATAAAACCATTTGTTTTAAAGAAGTGACCGTTCTCTGTGTTTCTGCATTACATTTCTCTCAAGCTTCACAACGTGTTTACATGTGAAGCATGTATGACAGATGGCAGGAAGCCATAATTAAAGAAGTTAAAAATATTAGTATTGTTCTTACACACAACTATCATTCTGCTTCAGAAGACATTGATTCATTAAGTGAGATATAGATAATTTAGAGATATAGATAATTTTTCATCTGTGTTCATCAGGGGCCGGTTGCATAAAAGGTTTAGACTAGTCTTACAAGTTAGCCATCTATTTTTTTTCTTTAAGACTGGTAATATGTCTTAAATTCGGTTACATAAAGACGGATATCCACAAAATAAGATGGCTAACTGCTAGCTGGTCAGACTAGTTCTTAAGACACTGTCTTAACACACAGGAGTTTATGCAACTGGCCATAGAAGAAAGAAAGTCATACATGTGGATGTGTGTGTTTTGGATGGAGAATTCCTTTTAAGTATATGACTGGTTCATATGTATGCTACTCCAGTAGCGACTGGATCCAAGATCATGTGCAAATAGTTTAAACCAGCTGACTGTTATAGTCACATATTTTTGTGTGCTTGTCATCTCATTCAGATGAGACCAAGCTGAAGCTGTGGAACGTGACCAGCAGTAAGAATGTTCTTCAGCTGCCCAGTATCTTCCACCATCTGCCGCACCTGCTGGCCAAAGAGACCAGCCTCCAGCCGGCCGTGCACATCGGCCAGGGCCGCACCGGAGGTTAGTGCGAGAAAACAGCCCTGTAATGAGTTCCTCTATGTGACGTTTGGTAGGTTTTGTTACATTCTCCTCCAGGCCTGTCTAGTTATACGGATTCAGTGTAAAATATGGGTTTGGTGCCTCTAGTGACCTGCTGCTGTCAGATGAGTTCATGCAATATTGTTGAATCTCTGTATTCACCGTCTCAGAGGCAAGTGTTGTTGAATGTGCGACTAACATGAAGCGGTTTATGACTAACGCTGAACACAAAGAAAACCCTGAAATGGCAAACATCAGTATCTGCTGAGATGTGTCATCTAACATATTCTTATTTCTATGTCTTGTACGTCGTTAACAAATACTTCTGTATTTGTTGGTTTATATCAGCTTTTATAGGTCTGTGAGCTCGTATTTAAATTGCTATTTAATTTTAATCAGTTGATCAAAAGGTAGCACAGATAAAAAAAAGATGTGATGACAGACAGTGATGTTAGGAGTTCATCTATTCCTTTAACAGTTTAAGCTGCTAAATTAGTACTAGTTACCCTTCTCAGTCGACAATAAGAACACAATAAATAGTCATTCCTACTGTAATAAAAGTAGAATGAATACACACTGAACATTTCAGGTTTGAACACCTATATTTCCTCTAGTGTTATATTTTTAACATTGAAAATTTTAGAAATTAGTGCTTTTTTATTAAATTGGTAAAAAATGACAGCTCAGACTTTTACATTGTTACAATATGAACTTTCTATTCATCAAAGAATCCTGAAAAAAAATACATCAACATTTTCAACAGTGATAATAATCAGAAATGCTTCTTGAGCAGCAAATCAGCATTTTGTTATGATTTCTGAAGGATCATGTGACTCTGAAGACTGGAGTAATGGTGCTGAAAATACAGCTTTGATCACAGCAATAACTTACATTTGACTTTATATTCAAATGAAAAAAAAATTTATTGCAGTAATATTTTACTGTATTTTTGCCAAAGTAAATGCTGATGATGGTGAGCATAAGAGACTTCTTTCAGACCTCAAACTTTTGAACATTATTGTACGTTGTGTGGTTCCTCAGGCGTCTATTATCTGCCTTGCATGATGATCTCATCATCCTGTAATACCCAATTTTAGTGACACTCTGATGTGCATTTATGTCCCTTTTGCGTGATTATAGAGACCTGGAGGAGCAGTTTGAAAAATATGCCCTCATAAATGTAAATGCAGCTGAAAATAAAAAAGTTAATTTCATCGTCTGGGTCTTTGCGATCCTCTTACCTCATATCTGCCAAACGCTTATTATATCATCACGCTCAAAATATGGTCTCTCTGTCCGACTCATGAAAGATGTCGTACCTCTCTCCATCTCCTGTCCCGGCTCTCTGCCCAGCTGTGTCCGGGTCTCTGGCCCGTCTGAGTGGACAGTTCTCTGGGGTGCTGTCCAACACAGCCTCAGCCCCCGGTGGGGAGGAGACGCTCGCTGTCCCGCAGGCTCTCCATCCAGCTTTAATTAGGACTGAGCTCTTAGAAATGCAAATGCACAGTCAGACAGGACTCTGCATGCTGAAGTGTGTGTGTGAATGGTATAGTATGCTTTAGTGGGGATCTGTCAAAAGTTAAGGCACTCGGGGCTCATTAGTGACTGTCTCTCTGTCTCTCAGTGTCTATAGTGATGGGGGTGCCCAGTGTGAAGAGAGAGGTGCACTCCTACCTGACAGACACGCTGAGCTCGCTGATGTCAGAACTGAGTCCGGCCGAGAAGGAGGACTGCGTGATTGTCGTCTTCATTGCTGAGGTAAGATCATAACAACAAGAATATGGAGAATGGATTCATTTTTTTATGAGGATGTAGCATTTTTAGGGAACACATTCACAATTAATTAAGAGTTTCCCCTCAATAAACTGCTAATTTGCTGCTTATTAATGTAAGGTAGTTGTTAAGTTTAGGTATGGTGTGGAGTAAGGGATCTAGAATATGGTCATGCAGAATAAGGCATTAATATGTGCTTTATAAGTACTAATAAACAGCCAGTATGCTAGTAATAATAATGCTTGCTAATAAGCAACTAGTTAATAGTGAAAATTGGTCCTTAAAATGAGACCTTTTTGAGACCCAGAAATGTGATCCGTGTGTGTTGTGTAATCATGTATCATATGTGGGTAAGTCACATCTTGTTTTCTCGTGACTTTACCTGCTTTCTCTATTACATCCAATAGTAATTATGATTTATATACGTATATAGCTCCAAAAGAAGCCAGAAGTGACTTTTGATTGACTTTATTAGTGAGTCACTGAATCACACCAATTTGTTCAAAAAGCTGATTCATCCAGTATATAAAAAAAGTCTCTTTAAGAGTAAATCGTTGAATCATTTACCGACCAATTAGTTCGAAACGCTGATTCACTCAGCATCAAAATGCCTCTGCTCAGTGTTGCTCTGAGATGTGCAATGGTAAATTTTGCTTTGACTTTAAAGGTACAATATGTAATTATAACAGTGTTCGTTTAACATAAATTTTAATAAAATAAATAAACAGCAAAACAAAAGTAAGCAGTAGCCCCTCAGTCATCACTTCACTGTCATCACTTCTCCTTTTATTCTCTGTGTGATGCAGGTGCTAACCATTAACATTTGCTCCACCGGCCTCGCTCCGCCCCCACAGCTCTCAGCCCCGCCCCACTCGTCACAGTAATACTGACAGCTAGGTGTTTAAATGGGTAGTGCAGTCCAAATTCAAAATATTGTTTGTCCCACCCCCTCCTCCTCAGACTGGATGCTCACGCCGGTTGCCAGATTGAGCACACGCAACAGGAGTGAGCATAAATGACAATCGAAGGCGACGAGCCTTACACTGTAAGCTGATGAGTTGATTCATCCACGTTTTGATATGCCTCTGGTCGTAGTGGTTTTTAGATGGATGCCGAGGCTGTTTAGGTCGAGTAGAATCTGCGATCTCTGATCCAGTTAGTTTGCTGGCTTCCATGTATGCAGTACATGTTATCCAACTACTGGCAACCCGGAGTGTCGAAATCCTATTGTGTAAATTCGTAGTGTCACACCAACCAGAACAAAAACAGACATTCTGACACAGAGCACACATTTAAAAAGCAGAATAACTGGCTGCAGCGTTGTTTTTCTGAGAAACAAGAATGTGAACTCAGGATGTTTCCTAAATATCTGCAATTATATTATGGTATTATTATCCTAGTACAGTCAAAAAATTACATGCAAGACCTTTAACAACAGAACAACAGACAGCAGAATGGAGTTATTAGAGATTAAGGATGTATACGAAGTATACTGTATGTATGCAATGAATATAATGTTACAATTCAGTATTAACGCCTGTATAGCTGACGTGTGCGAGCTGATAAACAAAGCACGCTGAGTGGATTGAGCGCGCGGCGGCGCACATGCACAAGCTTGTCGAGTTAATATCCCTTTCTCACAGACATCACTTGGAAAGCTTGTAGTTCGGTCGGATATGTCAAAAACAAGCAAGTAAAACAATGCACAAGTTACTTAACAGTAGGGAGGGAGAGAGAGACAGAGAGAGAGAGAGACAGAGAGAGAGAGAGAGCGCGCACTTCTGTTGTGTGATCTTTGATGTTCACTCACTTAGCACCCGCATTATTTGGATTCAAACTAAACCGTAAAAATAAGACCATTTATAGATGCATTCACTATAAACATCATTTATTTTCAACCTTAGGCATACACGATTTTCTGGCGAAAGTGAATCTATCAGCCTGTGTGAAATGCACTAGGCTACTTGTCCCTCTTATTCTGCACCAGTACAAATACGTGCAGGCGTTGCATGTGTTTTGCTTGCTTCATGAGTGTTTCTGCATTATATGAGTGGTTTGGAATATACATCGCAACACGTTTCAGATGAAAAAAAAACGCAACTTCTATTTATGAAAATATCACAGTTAGGAGAGACACTATAGTTCATTTATGTAAGTGAGGATAGCAAAATAAAGTAAACTGTGACAAATCATACCCAAAAATTCTTCATACAGTGGTCTACCAGTAAAACTGATACAAATTTGGGACCAAAAATTATTCAGACCGAGTCTGGGAAAAAAATTGAAGTTGAGGTTTGCATGAAGCTGGATGACAGCATGCCCAGAAGACTACAGGCTGTCATTGAGGCTAAGGGTTGCACGACTAAGTATTGATAGTTGTGTAAATATACTAACAGCTGTCTGAATAATTTTTGGTTTATTGTAATCCATTACATACCTTTCTATCAAAGTTATCTAACATGATCAAGCTGAATTTGTTCTGACACAATGTAACTCCGAGTTCTTGTTATATTTTATTACCATTTTCTAAACTATAACGAATAAACTGTGATAATGTGAGAAATGTTGAAGGTGTCTGAATACATTTTGGTTTGACTGTATCTATTTGATAAATGAAGTTAACCAACTAACATTATACATACCCTTTTGGTTTCTGTACCCAATATTTAAAAAATGTACAAATGCAATAAAAATATCGGTACTCGGTATCGGCAAGTACCAAAAATAAAAGTATCGGTTTCGGGTGAGTACTGGAAAAAGTGGTATCGGTGCATCCCTAGTCCCAAATGACATACTATACGCTGTGCACTTATACTATGCACTGTGTACTCTACCATCTAGTGTATGAATCTGATAGCCCATCCCATACGATATAGTTGGCAAGTAGGCATATTTCGACACAGGTAATGAAAACACGGCAATATCCACTTTTTTCCTATGCCGCATTATACACATTACAGTTCAGAGAGAGCAAACTGTTAAAAGAAACAGCGTAATGAAATTATAATTATAGGAACTATAGCGATGAGAGTGCAGTTTTATTCATTTTATGCTAAATATATTGTCTGATATTTTTGGATTTGGGGGTGAAATGGACCTGATTCTGAATTCTGTGAGATTTATCATTATAGGCAGTGTTTTATTTCCAATGAAGTTTTTATGAGAGAGCATTGAAAAAGATTTCTTGTAGATAACAGTATATTAACAGATGTATTATGATAATTGCAGTAAAGCATCATCCTGTGTTTGACCACACTAAAATGATTATATCACAAGGATATTGTGCCCTAGACATCCTGTAACTGCTGAGTGTGTTTGAGCCGTAATGGTTTGTTAATAGCGAGAATTGGACCTTAAGATAAAGTGTGACCGAACTTGACCATTAATAAAGCATGTTCTGTAAGTGAGTTATGTTAATAGAATATAATAGAATAAATGTACGGTACTCCTCGTTGTCACATTTCTTTGCTTTCCACACACCTGCAACTTATTCAGATTCAAGCAGACCCATTTACATGTACTTTGCATATACAGTTTAGATGCATGCCAGTCAGTTTCACTGATATACAGCATGGTTCGGCTTTCAGTTGATGCAAATGTGTTGACATAAAGTCAGACCGCAGAGAAAGATGTGCTTTGTTGATGTCTCACAGGAACTCCTTACTGTTCATTTGATTGCAAGAAACTAGTGGTGTTTGCTAAAGCAGGCTTTACTATTAATATTAATATTATAACTATTAATATTGCTCATGTAGCAAATTAGTTCAAAAGGTAAATGTATATAAATAATTACTATTAATTATAATTAATTACAATTATTTATATCAGCTGCCAGTAGTAACTGTAGCAGAATTAATATTACCATCAACTAATCTTTTCGTCCAGCGAACATTCAGTGTAAATTCATATCAACTCTAAGAAATTATATTTTCATGGCCATAGAAAATAACTTTTTTACAGTACTAGTGCATTAGAGCAGAGGTCCCCAACCACCGGGTCGCGACCCAATACCGGGCCGTGGAAGTGTTGCTACCGTGCCGCAAGAACGTTCTGGGACAAATGTGTATGATTTGTCTGTTATTTATTGGTGCGTTAATGATTGTTCTAATTATTCAGTTTTTTTTTTCGTTTGTTGTAGGCTAATTAGTATATGAATGATTGTTCTGATCTGTCATAGGCTATATTAGGGGTTAAACAGATCGCAGTTGATCCGTGATACGTACGGACCAGGCCCCACACTTCGGCACGCATGTGATTCGCAGATTAATTTGCCAGTTTACAAGTTCAAGCGATTTTAAACCACAAGAAGAAACGAAAGAGAACTCGATTCGTTACTCACGCGCTGTTTTCAATGTGTGCACAGCAGCTGCACACACCTGAAGCACGCACAGAGACGTGTTTCAGACAGTGCGCAAATTCTTTTTTCACGTCTCCTTGCGTTTGAGATGCATACACATAAAATGATCAAAAAACCCTTCTCGGCATTCTCAGCCTCTGTGCTTTAAATATTTTTTTCTTGCTTATGTGAAAAATCATCCGATCCGTGACTCAAAAACCACAATATGATCGCTTCATTGCTTTGTATTGGTCACATGTGTGTGAGGCTACCATGCTGACTGCCTGAAAAAATTGCAATAAGATCTTGACACCAATGGGTTGTTTTGATTAAACAAGCAGGTGTTTAGATGTTTTTAATACACTCAAATATACATTATATATATATATATATATATATATATATATATATAAACCCCCCCCCACTCCAGCCGGTCCGCGAGAATATTTTCAAAATATAACCGGTCCGTGGTGTAAAAAAAGGTTGGAGACCCCTGCATTAGAGCGTGTAACAAGATCAGGAATCGTTAAAGGGATTATTTACAAGCAGTGACTGAATCAGAAACTGTAATTCAACTCATGTAATTTGTGCACAAAGGTTTTATTAACTAAACACAAAAAACACTAGTCTAACAAACATACATGCACACTCATACATAAAGGGGAGTTAAAGTGGATGAATGAAGAGAAACTAGAGAATGCAGCTATGGAAAATGAGTCAGTTTAACCACCTGAGTGAAACCATCAGCACCGTTTATAATGGGGTCTACAGCTTATACTAAACCTCTGTTTCGTTTAGTTAAATGTACGATACTTGCATTGCCTTGGCTGTTCAACGAGCGTCCAGATGCAGTCTCGGATGAAAGTCTTGATGGTTTGGTGGTGTTGGAATTGCGATCACGTTCTTCCGGGTTTGAAGAGTGATGACTCCAAAGATGTTACTCTGACTCGGTGGTGATTGGGAGAGTTTTCTCTCAGATGGAAAGTGAAGACATGGCTTGCTGCAACTTTGATGTCCTGTCGGTGCGGGGGAGGCCCCATGGGTCGCGGTCGGACTGGATGTCCGAGAGGCAAGGATGTAAGAGCACCCAAGAAGACAGAAGAGAGAGGTCACGGATGTGAGGCCTTTTAACTTCTGTGGAGATCACTCCTCCAGGGGGTCGGTGAGCCAATGGTAACTTAAACTTTCGAAGGGAAGTTTATGACTCTTTGTCTTAGAGCATGGTGTTTTGCATATGTAATGGATTGGGTGCTGATACCAAAACTATTAAAGATTCTTAGAACACTAATATGTTGCATGGGTAACAACATATAATATACACTCATTTAGATCATTAAAATACAAACTCATAGATACCAAACATGGTATATGTGAGGTTATAATAACTAGGGATTCTGTCATAAAGCATGCATAAAACAGTATACAATACAAAAGACAATATACAAGAACAGTAATAATACACACAATGACCTGGGGATATGCATGTTCATTCACAAAAAGGTTTGTCTATGAATTAATGAAAGAAAGTTTTCTATGGTCAGTATGTGTCTGTTCAAAGTGAAACTCTCTGAATACCATTGAGTTGTAAAGTTTAGCTGGTTACTGTGGTAACCAGAGGTCTGTTCTGTCCTTTTGGGGTTATTTGAAATTCGATGGAAGGGTCCATAGTGTCACGGTCGGGGTGGAGAGATGAGGCAAGGACTCAAAGATGCAGGAAATGGGCTCTATATTAATAGTAAAAAATATATAAACAAAACTAACAAAAACCACTCCGAGGGGGAAAACAGGCAGGAAGGCCAGAACAGGGCACAGCATGGCAAGGCAAGGGAAGGCCAGGACAAGAACAGGTAGAGCAGGCCCAAACCAGGAACACACAGACACATCCGACCACATACGACAACGAAGAAGCACAGGACTGCAAACACAAGGAGAATAAATAGGGAGACAAACGAGGAGGGTAACAAGGGAGACACAGGTGGAGTAACTGAAACAATAATGAGAACAAGAAGGGCGGGGTCAGACAATAGACTGGAGAGTACATGGCACCAACAAAAACAATGACAAGCCATGTGCTCACAAATAGACACAGAGTGCCTCTGGTGGTCGTCCTGGGCACACCAGCTGAAGACTGTGACTCATAGACACTCATAGTTGGCTTGTTGGTTGAGTGAGGGGTGTTAGGGATTATTTTTTAAATATAACAAATAATTGTGTGTCTGATTTGTCCAGGCGTTACACTCATAACCCCGACTCCAAGTATTAAATCGTACACTATTGCATTTTGGGTGTGGCCTCTTTTGACTTGAGCCGGTAAGCAGCCACCTAGAACATGCTGTATAGCATCATCAGCAGTGCTAAATACACTCCAAGCACTCCAGCAACCAAACAGCAACATGCTAAAAACACTCAGAACACTTTAGCAGCTGAAAAACAATATGCCAAAAAAAGCACTCTGAACACTCTGATACTGAACACCAGCAAGCTTCATTAAAACCATTCCGAACACTCTAGCAACCAGATGGCAACACACTAAAAATCCTCTCTGAACACTTTAGCACCCGAATAACAACAATCTGAAAACACCCATAGCAGCACCATTGTGGATGTCCTGAGGACGTCCGCCACCCCGCCCCTGGAAATGTAAAAATCTTGTTGATTAGCATAAACTGTCTCACGGATACACAAGATTCACATCTCGTAGATACATTTTTTAACCCTTTTTTGAAAAGAGGATTTAAGAGGATTTATTTCATATGACAGAGGCTTTTGGAGTGCTGTCTTTTTGTTCTGTGATCGAACCAGAGATGGGCACTCGAGTTAGTGACTCGGACTCGGAGTCGCATTTTTATAGACTTCAGACTTGACTCAGACTCCAGCGACAAAGTTATAAACCCCAAACTTCCTATTTGTCTGAAAAAGCAGCAGTTCCCATTTCTCTGGAATCGAAAGGTTTGGCCAAAGTTGCTGCAGGTGTTTCCTCATCATCTATCACTCGTTCTCTTCCCTGTGTTTCAGGAGTCGCTCTGATAGTTTAGAAAACAATGACTTAGTCATGAGAGATCTGTGGGAAATAATGAGGATTTGATGAGTCCGGCAGGTCATGAACACTGACACAGTGTCTGGATCCTCACTTTATGCCCTCGTACGCTGTCCTTGAGTTTTACTGTTCTGGCTCCATTTGACACAATAGGGTACATTAATAGTGCCTCAAAACAGCTCTAGAGTATTTGAACACTTAAAGGGGTGGTTCACTGTTTTTTTTCTAGGCTTGATTGTGTTTATGGGGTGCAGTCTAACATGTGTTAATGCTTCGTTTTTTAAAGAACGCATTATTTTTCACATAATTTACCTTTATTCCACACAGCTCTGTCCCTTCTCTGAAAAACGCACTGATCATTTCCTTCTTTTATGAAGCCCCTCCCTCGAAAATAGGCGATGGGCTCTGATTGGTTAGCTAGCCCAGTGTGTTGTGATTGGCTAAACCGCCTCTAGTGCACGTCTAAACGTCCTGCCCCACCCCTCAACGGTATGTGCTCCGGTTGTATTGCCCCCTTTGCTTCCTTTTCCCGAGGGTGGGGTTTATCTGGGTTTGTGATGTCACGAACCCCGGAAGTAACTCGTTGTAGTCCCTAACAGCCGTTTTTGTAGGCAATAAACTGCCAGAATTTTAAAAGACGATATCTCCGCTTGCATTGAACTTTCTGCTTTCTTAACTTTGCAGATATTGTTTATGTTCAAACAGCAACATTACACACTAACTAACGTTAAGGAAGTGAAATCGCAATGAACCACCCCTTTAAAGTAGACATAAAATGGAAGTTGTGATGGTCTTTTCTGCCCTATTATAAAGATTGAACGCATGAATATAAAGATGTGCAAGGATAAACTGCAATATTCCTTAAAAAAAGTACTTTTTGAGTTAAAAATGTCTGAATGTAATTGATAACAGAATATAAATCCAAATGGCTTATATTTAATGACGGCACAAACTTTTGGAGCAAATCCTTACATAGAAAGTTTTAAATGATAACCCAATGCATTTAAAGACCTAAAGTAAAAAAACAATAATCTTACAGAAAGAACCGACTGTAATTCTGTTCATTCTAATGACGGCTATAGCGCCCCTAATGGAAACGTCAAGAATGCAACGCATACATTGGTTGCATTTTGAACGAACCGTCAAATTGAATCTGAACAGTGAAATCCATCTGCTGTTTTATAGTGGAAAGTGCTTTAGCTGCTCATCACCATTTGCTTCCATTATTGGACAGTTAAAGTTTCTCTCTTGACTACAGAGACTGTATAATCTCTTTAGCAGGAAAAGTCAGGAAATGAGAATCGACATTGTACTTAAAACATTCATCCAAAAAACTCCTACAAACACTTGTCTAGCCCAAAGGTGAACATTTATTAAGCCATTGATTCTTGCTTTGTTTTGCAGACGGATCAACAATATGCAAATAGTGTTGCTGACAACCTTAAGCGCCTGTAAGTACTCGAGATTTTTATTACTGTTTTGACCATAACCTGCTTGAGTTTCATGGATACATGTGTGTTTATGTGTGTGTGAGAGATCGTGTGACTGCAGACTTTTCCTCATATGTTTTTTTGAGGACAATAGCAGAAGAAGCAGAAGGGAAAGTCCATCCTCCGGGTGTTAAGAGTTCCTCTGCTTCGTTCTGCTTGTCCCACATTAGTCATGTGTTTGTGCTTGTACTGATTGTTTTTGCAAAGGCTTACAATACTGGATCGCTGTCTGTGTGTGTTTTGATTAGATCTTTGCTTTTGTTGGCTCTTATTTCTCCCCTTACTGTATCTATCTACTTATGGGTGTGTTATGTGGGTGCAAAACAGGGTTATTCATGTGAACTAAAACTAAAACCATAAAAAAAACGTCACTTGAAAAAAAAAAATGTAAATAATTGTTGCCAAGGAAGCATTTTTCATTTTAATTTCATTGAACTTGACTTACTAAAATAACTAAAACTAAAAGTGAAAAAAAAATGGATTAAAACTATGTAGGCATGTTTTAAAAAGCAAACTACTAAAAATGAAAAATAAAAATAATTTTTTTTTAAATTAAAATTATCAAAAGACAAAACTACCAAAACTTTAAAATTACAATGAAAATGAAAGCTGGTTCAGAATAATAAAAACCATAATAGTATCTCTATTATCTCTAGTATATTTCTTTTTTCTTTTTTAAATGTTTAAGATTTGTGCAATAAATTTTACGTATTAATGCATTTGAATGCTCAGATTTAAATTAATATAATTAATGATATACAGTATGAGCTCATGACTGTAGTTTAAAATCTGAAACACAAAGATGGTGATATATGACAGAAGTTTTTAAAGAATAATTCACCTAAAAATGAAAATGGGGAATAATGACTAGCACGTGAACAATAGTGAAAGGGGTACATGTATTTCATTTAAATAAAGTCCCTTGAACCCGCATAGGGACATATACTCTGAGGTAATCATTCCTCATAGTCACACAGCCTGTTTTATGAAGTTAGGAGATATAAGCACTATTTAAAGTGTGTGATTTTTTTTTTTCCAGTTATATCTTAGTTTCAGTTATGTTTTTATTTTACTTATAGGAACTTTTAAAAATTGTAATGAATAGATGCATCACACACACACACTCTCTCACCTGGATACTAGTGCTGTCCGATACCAAAAGTGAGAAAAGCACCATTAAATATGAAATCCTGAAGCCTAGCTTTGTGTGAAAAACAGACTCAAATTTAAGTCATAATTTGCTGAAAATGTCCTCTCAAATGTCATTCTGCATATTCAAAACTTGACTGCACCAGTCCACATTCACTTTCAGTGTATGGAAAGAGGAGCTTGGACATTTTAATACAACATCTTTTATGTTTTACAAAAGAAATAAAGTCAAACAGAATGATGTGAATGTAAATGATGCTTTAGTTGTGTTAACATACTTACAGTAGCCCAATCCTCTGCATGTGTTTCAGGTATCCAGTGGAGATTCAGTCTGGGCTGTTGGAGATCATCTCTCCCTCCATCCATTTCTATCCAGACTTCTCTCACCTCAAAGAGTCGTTTGGTGACCCTAAAGAGCGGGTCAGGTAATATGACTGCTGCACACAAACCCTCCTCTTCCCATCAGTGTGTGTGTGTGTTTTGTTGCAATTAGCCATGAATGATCAGTGTGAATGCTGAGCTACAACTGCCCCCCTCAGCGATTAGCATCTCACATACTCGGTGTGAAAAACATAACTATTTGCACACACAGTGATCACATGTACAGAAATGCAGATTACATTCACTGCTTTCGATTCTGCAAGTAACTTGCGCTATGAATCGTGTACAGATCCATTTTGCAACGCTAAATGTGTGAAATTGAGAAAGCCAGAGGCATCTGTGTTCATGTACTAGAGTTTCAGGTCTTATGAAAACGCTCTCTGCTGAGCAAAAAGTTCTGCCTGAACTTAAATGAGCTTTTTGCGTGTGCGCGTGTTCCCCCGGGATCAGGCTTCTTTATGCCTTATTCATGAGTGCACACACAGACTTCCAGCATCTCTGTTCTGTCAGTTCAGTTTAATTAACACAAACGCACAACTAAACCAAAAAATGTCACTGTACACACACACACACACACACACACACACACACACAGCTTATCTGCAGCCTGTCACATCAGTGCTGAATCAAGCGTCTCACACACACTCTTACAGTGCCACTGTGCGTGCTAAATTCAAAGATGTGGTAATTTGATCAAATTTCTTAATTCTGAAATGTTTGTCTGCTGAAAGTTTTTTTGGAAAGGTGTTTCATCGGGTGAACAGTTGGCATGTTTCAGTACAACCCATCGAACACATGGCACTTCTGTCCCTCACAGCCTCATTTTCACTCCTGTCAGAAATTCAAGGGTTTTCCAAATGGGGGTTTGTCAGGGAACTACAGGGGGTCTAATAACTAATTATACTGAATGTAAAATAAAAATAAATGGGGCTGCACAATAGTCCAGGTATAGTTTAGTGCGACTGTCAAAACGAATGCTGTGAATTAAATAACTGTATATTCTGATCTGATGCATGTTTTAGATTGAAGCGCTACACTGTTCATTTACACCTGAGCAGCTCATGATCCAATGCTTTCAGCGTCTCAGTGTGGCTCAGTTCACAATAAATGCAGCAAAGTTTGTCTCTGCATGGGTTTAATTTACAATACTCAAATTCACAAATTCCAACATTTTGTGAACAGATGTTTACAGTATTTTACCAATATTTTGCACACAAAAAAACTTGAGGATGTGAAATGTTAAAAGTAAAGAATTTAATGCATACATATTAAAGTTGTAACTTGTATTATTATCAAATATGTAATTTTATTTTAAACTACAATTGTAATCAGTGTTGGGAAGGTTACTTTGTAAATGTAATAAGTTACAGATTACAAGTTACCCTATTTAAAATGTAATAAGTAGTGTAACTATTTCAATTACTTTATTAAAGTAATGTAACTGATTACATTTGATTACTTTTCTAAATGTCTAATGTTTTCAACTGTTAATTATTTGGAAACATGTAAAGCAGGCAGGGTTAACCTTACAGTAGGACTCAAGACTGATTACTGTCAGACTTTCAGAATCATTCTTCTCTTGAATTAAGATTATAATCATTTAATTGTACAGCACAGCAACCTCAAAATCGGACTTTAGCACCTCTTTTTACCATGAGATCTTTTTGAGGTTAAATACAGATTTAACATCACAAGATATAGTTTAATGGCTATGATACTGTTTTTGAAATCAAATCTTTGTATAACTATGACAGTATGAACTATGAAGCACTGGCATCTAACAATGCCTTGAAAAGAAAACAGTTAATCTTAAACAAACAAACTAAATCATATACATAAACCAAATTTGTATGTGGGTGAAAATATTCAGATGCAACCCCCTTTGTAATCATTAACATTTTCATAAGTAACTGTAATTTAATTACACATTTTTTCTCAGTAACTGTAACAGATTACAGTTACATTTATTTTGTAATTAAATTACGTAATTTGCTTACATGTAACTAGTTACTCCCCAAAAGTGATTGTAATATAGAACAGTATTATTTCTGTCTTCATTTTTATAGGGTTATTATTCAGTTTGTTTGGGTTCCTTAAACAGCAGTGTGAATGTAATGCAGACTGAGACGCTATCACAACTAAAAGAGGTTTGAGTCTCTGTACTTGCTCTGCCGCAGCAGTAGTGTAGCAGATCTATTCCACCAAGACCAGACACATTGCCATGTACAGTATATTACCATGCTAAAACTCTCAGAGAGTTTTCATGACAGAAATATATTTAGTTGCATGTCATGTAACTATTAACCTACTTAGCGAACTGTAAACATGTCAGTGTGTTGTTAAATTATCGAAATGTTAAATTAAAATCTCAGGGGGGCTTCAAGTAAATATTTTATGTCTAAGGGGTTTGGCTGACAAAAAGTTTGGGAATACATTTGTGAAAATGATTGGAGGATCTTAGTATAGTTACAGTACCATGAGTTCAGCCGTTTGCATGATTGCTGAGAAACTCACACTAAGAACAAACATATTCCCAAATGAAAATGTTCTGCACAACCTCATTTTCATCAGTTTCGCAGTCACATCTCTCTTTAAGGTAAAACAGCAGTGCTCAGTTCTGGACAGACACATTCTTATCACATTCTCCTAAAATAAGCAGTCAGTACAGTGATGTAGGTAAATATGTTCATTAACGTCTGTTTGTGCTCAAAGCCTGTCGGATCTCATCAGGCCATCCGGTTCAACCCAGAGCACCCTGATGAACAGATCAGTGCTGGATCAGACAGGCAGATGAATCCATCACCAATCAAGCAGACACACAATTCAATAACCAATCAGCCAAGAAAAATACAAATCCATTTTAGACCAGATCTGTTTCTTTCTAGTAATGTGTTTTTGTTCGGTTTGTTCAGTGTAGTAGTTAAAATATTCATGTTTTTTTTTAAATCTACTGTTGGCCAGGAGGTGTTTATACTTAGAAGATGAATTCTTCAGCTGTTCCACATGTGGACAAACTGCATGTGTTTATTCAGATGCCTCAGCATTTGGTTCAGGGTTTGGTGGCATGAGTGTGATTCTCTATTTTACACACATTGAATCAAACTCATTTAATTTTCATTACATTAAATGAAATTCAGTCTTTTATAGGTTAAAGATTTAGACCGGTCTGTAAACAACCAAAATGAGTTTATGAGTCTTAGTGTGTTTTAATCTGACATTGCGTGACTGCACTTGAGTTTGTGTGTGTGCAGTGTGCAATTTGACAAAGTTGGACAGATGTATCCTCGAGACCCTGGTCAAATTGTTGACCATCTCACACATCCAGGAAAAAGAGAAAAGCTGCCATCTGTATGTCAGGGATAGTGCCGATGTCTGGATTTCACACGTTTTTCCAAATAGGGTGCATATAGGTTCATCCAACAGGGCACTAAAAACAGCATATGGATCTATAGTATCTATCTATCTGTCTGTCTATCTGTCTGTCTGTCTGTTTGTCTGTCTGTCTGTCTATCTATCTATAATCTATCTATCTATCTGTCTGTCTGTCTGTCTGTCTATCTATCTATCTATCTATCTATCTATCTATCTATCTATCTATCTATCTATCTATCTATCTATCTATCTATCTATCTATCTATCTATCTATCTATCTATCTATCTATCTATCTATCTATCTATCTATCTATCTATCTATCTATCTATCTATCTATCTATCTATCTATCTATCTATCTATCTATCTATCTATCTATCTATCTATCTATCTATCTATCTATCTATCTATCTATCTATCTATCTATCTATCTATCTATCTATCTATCTATCTATCTATCTATCTATCTATCTATCTATCTATCTATCTATCTATCTATCTATCTATCTATCTATCTATCTATCTATCTATCTATCTATCTATCTATCTATCTATCTATCTATCTATCTATCTATCTATCTATCTATCTATCTATCTATCTATCTATCTATCTATCTATCTATCTATCTATCTATCTATCTATCTATCTATCTATCTATCTATCTATCTATCTATCTATCTATCTATCTCTCTGCCTGTCTGTCTGTCTGTCTTTCTGTCTGCCTGTCTGTCTCTGTCTCTCTGCATGCCTCTCTGTCTCTCTGTCTGTCTGCCTGTCTCTGTCTGTCTGTCTGTCTCTGTCTGCCTGTCTGCATGCCTCTTTGTCTCTGTCTCTCTGTCTGTCTGTCTGCCTGTCTCTGTCTGTCTGTCTGACTGACTGACTGTCTGTCTGTCTCTGTCTCTCTGTCTGTGTGTGTCTGTCTGTCTGTGTGTGTGTGTGTGTGTGTGTGTCTGTCTG